AAAACATTACGTTATATTATAGTATATAAGTATATATTACCATCAAAAAATTTGGCAATCTTGAATAAAACTCAGCAAATATGATTATATTATATTAATATCTAGAGAATGGATCCTTTACGTATAAATTTTTCTTATAAAATATATATAAAATGTATAAAATCGCAATATAAAATTATTAGATATCTGAGAATAGATTATATGCAATTGAATAAAAATTTACTATTAATAAAACAATTTGCAGATTTAATTCTTTATCTTTTCATCAGATATTAATTATTTATCTTTCATTAAATTTGAAAAATTATAGTTCCATTAAAAAAGACTTTTATATGCACATAGGACATATAAATTCTAATCTAATCTAATTCTAATCTAATTCTAATCTAATTCTAATCTAATTCTAATCTTTTAACATTAAATTTGTTACATTAGTTTAATTTAATTGATATTAATTACCATTTTTTAATATTTTTTAAATGTTTAAGAGAGTGAAAAAGAATACTCATCATGCGTTTTACTTGTAATCTTTAATTATTAATTAATAACAACTTTTGAAAATATCTTATTAAGAAAATAAAACATCAAATGTTATTCGATCACTAAAAAGTAAAATAAATTACAAAATTGTGCTACATAAATTATTTGTAATGTTAATAAACAAATATCAATTATATTAAAATCATATGCATCAATCAATCCTACTTTACAGTATAATAAATATACAACGTCATATAACAAATTCGTCCAAGTTGAAAATTCGTGCTCATACGATTTTCTAAATAAAAAGCTATTCTTAACGAAAAATTGACAAAGAACACCTATAGACAAAATGTTTTAAGTTATTGAATAGTAAATGCTTAACAGTCATTAAATAATAAACATTCGAAAGTGGCCGTAGGATGTCATTGATGAGTGCTGCGACAATCTTAACATATTGACTACTACGAAGACCGATACTACTTTTTAAATAATATCAAGAAATTAAAACATTGAAAAATTAAACTTAAAAATTTTAAGAACTGATAAATTAAAATAAGATAAATTCTATGCACTAAAGAATTAACAAATAATACAAAGATTAAATGTGTGTTATAGTGTAATATATTTTGAATTATGGTGATTCCTAAAGGAAGTATGTATGTATATAAAACTCGTGTAAAGTGATATCGTGAAATTGTACGTAAATTTTTCGCAAACATAGTTTGTTATTTGTTTTCTCGCTATGATAAATGCTTGCAAATACTCAGAAAATATATTTATATTACCAACATAGAGTATATTTTTTATTTACATGTATTTTATTTTCTGATGGGGGCTGTAACTTTTATTTATTGACTAACCTATGTATAAGATTAAAATATTAAATCATTTAATAAAAAATTTAAAAAATTGAAGAGATTAAAAAATGGAAAAAAGATGAATGCAATCTTCGGCATCTTGAAATTGTCAAACAAGTCCTTGATGTTGCGTTTGATCAATGTTTTGCTTTGCATAAGTATTTCAATTAAAACAAGAGGGAGATGAAAAGAGAAGGGAGAAATACGCAGAAGCTATCTGTTCGTTTAGTGCGTTTCCTGATTAATTCAATTGTTTAATTGGACGACGAAGATTTTCGAGTCGGGAAATCTCGTGAATTATTCACTAACTCGTCCACGACGGTAATATCAAAATCATGTAAGACCATGAATAATTAAAGGATTGCGGTGAACTCTCCATCTAAAACAATAATTTCCTCCACTTATTACTGTTGCTTCTTCTTATTTCTGTTTTAACTTCGCGAACAAAAATTAAGAAATAACTGTCGTTCCTTTTAAATGTTACTCTACTCACGTAATGGTTACCTTATTTGCATATTGCGGATATATGATCTTTTAATCAAAAACCATTTCTAATTACTCTGAGATTTATTTCGTAATCATTTATTGTGTTTCTTTTTGTTATTTTATTTAAATTATAAAGTATTGAATTTTAGATAAAAAATTACATTTTATCATAAAGAAATTCCTTTCTTTTTTTTTGAACAACTTGAAGTTCCAAGTTTTGGAACTTAAATAAAGATTCAGAGTGATCTTGTAATTTTCGCTAAAATCTTTAAATTAACGAGGGAACTTCGGTAATTCGAAAATTCCGATATTTTTTTAAATTTTGCAAGTTTGCAGGGGATTTGTAAACTTTAAAAGAAGTATCGGTAATTTTTTTTCGATCTTTCAGAGTGAAATCAATTTGATGACACCATTTTATAAAGCATGAAAAATTGTCCAATTTTCATATGTATCAACCAACATCAATCAATCAATGTAATCAATCCAAATTCAATTTTAATTTATCCAATTTAATTTATAATTAATTTATCTAATTTAATTTATAATTATATTTAATTTTAATTAAAAGTGGATTTGATTGACCTAGATTTCTTATGGGACGGGGTTGCTGATCGTTTGCAGTGTGCTGGTTCATTATAACACACAAAATCGAATGAAGGCCGCGATTATGCATAAAAATAAATTGTACTGTTTGGTGTGCACTGATTATCAAGCAATTTCTTCGATTTAAATGCTACAATATATCAGAGAATATTCAGGAGTACAGACAAAACCTCGTCTGTGTCAGGAGTCAATTTGTATTAATTGTAGGTTAGATGATTTCTACCGGTAAGCAAACCGGAGTCAGACGATTTCTCAACTTCCGATGAAAAATTGGGGAAAACTTCCTCGTTTCTTTTTCCATCGGTTTCGAAGGTTTTTGAATTCCCAAATAGAAGCCGTTGACACTATTTATCAACTCCGCGCAGAGCATGTTTTGTTTAAATATTTCATTTAAATGTCTTCCTCGGAGAAGATGGCATATGGCCTACAGCATGTTGTATCCTTTTTGAACTTTGCACGGACATAACTTTCGAGTAATCTGGCCCTCTAGTTAATGACCTAGCAACAAGGCCTTAGTCCTCTTGCTGGGTTTTTTCTTTAAAAATAGCATGAGACCTCGACTTTGTTATAAATCAAGACACTATTCGAAGTTCCCATACTATTAGTACTATTCGATGTTCAAACTTTTATTTCATAACATATATATATGTTCATAATATTATATATTGTGCGGAAAATTATGTATTTTTGTATAAATATTGCTCAGAATAATTGCCAATTTTGCAAATATTTTTTGTCAATAAATTTTTAATAAAAAGTGAGCGACGCGATTGCTCTTCTTGAGTGTTACACAAAAGAATATCCTTGACGAAGAATGATAATATATATGAAGAACAAAATCATCGGAACTGCCATTCTTAAACGTAAGTTTTAAACTTTTCTACTGTATATTACATATACATATGTGTTATATTACACATATATATTGTATATGTGCAATATGCAAACTTTCAAAATAAAAATTTCATAAAATTGATTGTTATTTACTTTAATTCAAGAGTGAATGATTTATTAGTCTCAGGCTCTCCTAGGATCTACTGATTAAATATATATTCATATAATGATATTTAGTGAGTTAAAAATTATTTTTCAAAGTTGATGTTTTGTTTTTGTTCAAGTATGTAAATGGTTTTGTTCTACTATATATATTATCTTTAATCCATTAATAAGAATCCCTAGTGTTTTGTAATATACAATACACTGTTACCTGTAATGTTTCCACGTGTTTGTCGTACAGTACCAATCAACGAACTGTCAACTAGCAGAAATAAAATTATTTTATTTCTAAATTCATTGTGTTGACAACTGAAATTAAATTACATGTTCATTCTATCTTTTTTCATATAAATATTATCTTAAATTTTGAAACAAAAAGATTTGTACCAATTGAAAAATAAAGAAAATAGTAATTATTTTATTTGTAAAAATAAAAATAAAAATTGAATAAAAGTCTCTCGTCTTAAATATTTTTTTATTAATATTTTTAATCATTTAAATTTATTAATTTAATGCTTGATCGGTACTTGGTGACAATTTTTCATTTTTTACAGATTAGAATTTCTCACTTTTACGAATTATTAATATTTTTTACATTTCGCAACAAAAAAAATATATTACAAATCTTCATTTAAATTACAAATTTATTTTTGAAATTTTGATATTTACGACTCTAACTCAAAATATCATAAAAAAAACTCAGAGTATTCAGTACTATATGATTCTCCCCTAAGTATGTGATTCAATCTTATTATAACGAATTTCATTGATACTTAAATAATCTGTTACTTTTTTTGTATGATTGGATGAGCACATCGTGGATATATATTTATTCGAAATATTCTAGGACTGTACTTTCGCACACAACAATTAGCTTTGAAACACGCTGCAAGATTATTAATTCGTACATAACAAAAATCTCTCACTGGCTAAGATCGAATGCGGTCGTATGTATATATTGAATGTAAAATGAAAAGAAGCAAACCTCTCGATTAGAATTTTGGACTTAGCTAATTGTAAGATAAATCATTGTTGGTTTTAGCATAGTAACTCGATTCTAATTATCAATGAGCGAGTCATTCATTTTAATTATTCGTAATCAATTTTTACATAATAGAAAGCAACAAGTTTTTTTAAATCGAAACGTAGTAACGAAATAAAAAAAACTTTGGTATATTTATTAATATTCTGTATTTAAAAAAAGTCATTCGATCAGCTGATATTGGAGGAATCTCTTTCTTTTTTCTGGTCTTCGGTGACTTCTGCATTTTCAACTGGCTCAGAACGTTTCTCCTGGAACGTCAGATCAAAATCGTCCGGAAATTGAGCACGATAGGCGGTGAAGTCCTGCTGTTTGCAATAGTCGGTGAAGAAGGTCAAATATTGCATCTCCTCCTCGGTTGGTTCCAGCGTGGGTGCTATCGATTTCAACCTTTGACTTTTTGGAATCGATCGCCACATTAAAGGCCGCCTTTTTATCGGAGGTGGTTCCATAGCACGTTGCAAAGATGCCAGCAATTGATGCATAAGCTCGAACTGTGAACAGATAAAATGACACTAATATCGTTTCACGCGTCCAAGACTGTCGAAGTAAACTGGAATGATCATAAGTAGACATTTGTGTAAATATTGTAAATATAAGTAGAGAAATGGAATTTAAGTAACATGATGATTTCTTTTGAAATCCTATGAGATACTATAATAAGAAGACTGCGGATTTTTATGCATTTATGGAAAATTTGACAGTGCAAATATGCACACAATGCATGTAATATGCAAGAATAAAATATTCAAAGAAGAATATTAATTATAATTCTATGTAGAAAAAACAATTTTCTATTTCTGTAATTATGCTCATGAAAATTTAAAGATGCATAAAAATCCGCAGTCTGATGATGAATTGTATCAAGTAGAAAGCAAAAATAAGTTAGAAAGAAAGAATAACATTTTACATTTTTTCATTTAAGACTTCGTTTTGGAGAAGATTAAGTTTGAAAATTTGTCTTAAATTTAAAATTTATACTTAAATCTGGCTAATTCTGGACTGGATAGAACATGATTATTCTATATATGAAAATAAGTAAAAAAATGTAGAACGAAATTTTGTATTTTCAAGGAAATAGACTTCAAACATGTTTAAAAAATTAGTTACAATACAATACATGTGTATTTGATAAATTTTCAAATTCAATTTTCTTTCGGAAATCCTGTAGGAAAAAATTGGATTCTAAATTTTTTACTTTTTTTCGTGCGTTTCTGTCGGTTATTTGTTGCTGCCCAATCCGGAATAAATCAAAAGTTTACATTTATGTCAAATGCACTTTAAAAATTTTTAAATTTGATATAGAATAAAAAAATGTTAGTCTTCATTTTCAACTTATGCTTTGTATGTTTTGTATAGTTTTACGTATTATGCTTATTCTACGTATTTTTTGCATCTTTAAATTCTTCATAAATGCATTTTTGAATTCTTTCTACGAATATATAAATATGTACAATCTAATCACGAAATATTTATAATTTATATAATTTTGAATTGTTTTACTTTTTTAGCAGCTTCCTCTGTCTCTTTCATAGCCCTCAGCTCCTGTTTGAAGCCTTCCGTCTCGTAAGCTTGAATCACTTCCGGTGGTAAAGTGTCCAGCTGCAAATTTAATTCCTCATGGATTTTCTCTATCCATTTCATCATAAAGAAACTGTTTAAATTCGCATCGTTCGGTCCCACACAGCTTTCGTATGCATCTTCGACGAATACTTGAAGACGAAGCACTTCTTCCGAACAAACGGAATCACGGAATACCGTTTCCAGCTCGTTTGCATAGCTTTCCAATTCTGCAGCTCTGGTTTCTAATTTTCGAATGGTATCCTGAATTCACAATTGTAAGTATATCTCACAATTCTTAAAATTGATAAATATTGATATTCCTTATTTTACCATCATAAGTACATCTTATGATTCTTAAAATTGATAAATTTCAGTATTTTTTATTCTATTTGAATGTACGAGTGCCTTTTCTTTTTATTTGCTCTTAATACAATTAAAGACAAACGTTTCATTAATGAAACATTTTATTTGTTATTTGTCAACTAACACTTTCCCAACGGAATATTTGAAATGAGAGTTGTGCGTAAGAAATATGTATTATTTATTAGAATTATCATTCTAGAAGTTTTATAAATAAATTGTACAATTTTATTATTTTATCACTATAACAATTGAATAATATATGATTTTAGATCAGGTCAATATATGATTTTAGACTTTAATTTTTTACAAGCGCTTAAAAGATACGAATATTCTTGTCAAAATTAATTATTAATTTCTGTTTGAACATAAGTGTCTGATTTACGTGTAGAATATTTTGATAGTGTCGTTAATAAATATTTTCATTTATTTATTTATATTAATATTTTTGTTCATCAATCAACCAAAATCATCAAGTATCTATATGACGCCCGGCGTAAATGTGTTAATTGAATTTTGCATAATTATTGAATTTTAAATATGCAAAATATATATAGTAAAAAAAAATTCGCTTAACAGGTAGACTGCCATGTGACATTTGTACTTTTTGCCTATGAGATGGAAACTTTTATAAAATATGTTGCAATAAAAGTGTAACGTGAAAGCGCATTTTTCATTTCATACAGTAAAATCTTCCATATTCAAATCCTTATTATCCGACTCTAATATCTGAACATTCTGTTGGTCAAACAGAACGTTTATTAATAATAGATGTTATACGGTAAAACTTTTCGGAACTTTTGAGGAAAAAATGTATTCAAATATTAAAATTTTCGATAATAAAACAACAGCTTTCTTTATACTAAATTTCACATATTTCAAACGTAAAATAGTAAGGATCCCATAAATTTTTTAGTCGCTAAGTCACATAAACTTTTTAACGTAAGTAATTGCTTGAATCGGTTTATTGCAGTTCCTGGGGTGATGTTTCCCTGCATTTAACATAGAAATTTGGTTAATGATTAAGAGATGTTGTAAGAAGTGTTATAGATTTAGTTTTATGTTTGTCTTTAATTTACTATTTTTAGAAACGAAGGGATAAAGTCTACGAAGTGCGGGATAGGCTAAACTGGTTCTTTTTTCTATTGCAGAAGACCAAATAATTTTAGAGTCGATAACTCCCAGGTATTTAACGATGGAAAACCAGGGGATGACTTTACTTGCGATTTTTGTTCGATTTAGGGATATATTTTTCTTCAGGTAATAGCTTGTATCTTTTTTGAATTTACTATTAATTCCCAGTTTTTGAAGTACTTTTGTAAACTGTCAAGATGATTTTGGATGTATGAGCATTATCCGAGCTTCAGGAGGAGGCGCATATTGCAGTATCGTCTGCATAAATGGCAGCATGTGTGTTTTGGGCACTAGGAAGAGAACCAAGAATGGATTACCGGCTGTGACATTTTTTATTGTGAGTTAATGCCGTTGATGAAGACGTAGAAGTTCCTGTTGTGGAAATAGCTGATTATTATGTTGATAAGTGGAGAATGAGTATTTATTGTGTGTTTTGTTAATAGAGCACTGAGTCAAATATTTTTTCGAAACCTAATAATATGAGTTGAGTTAATCTATTTTTATTTCTTTCTATGATGATGTATTCTGTGGCACGTAATTGATGTATGCAACAGTGATTTTGTTTAAAACCGAACCATTGTGGGATTGTTGTTTCTTTACACGAGTGAGAAGGTGTTGATAGATGATTTTTTCCAGTATTTTAGAATGTCTAGAAGGCTGATCGGTTTAGGCATGACAGATAGACATGATACAGGTTTCATTTAGTATTGGACTAACCTTTGCCATTTTCCAAACTGTGAGGAAATAAGGAAGTTTTAAACAGGCTTTAAAAATGTAATATAACTGTATCAGAAGTTTGGTTGGTAGGTTTTTTAGTTTAATATCTGTTATCTTGTCCAAGAACTTTACTATTGGGAAGTTCATTATATCTTTCATTGTTTTCAGTGTGCAGAATAAAAAGTTTTCTTGTGTTAGAAGAGTTGCTCTAATATTGCTTTATGTTCGATGCTCTATTCTATGGGAGAATGTGTGTTGCACACATTTTTGTTTCAGAGTTTTGGGCTAGACCTGATTTTTCCTCGTCTGAATTATGTTGTGCGTTGGGTCCTGATAACACATTTTGGTTTTACAATCCCTTGTAATTTGATAGATTTGCCATAGCGTGATTTATTTATTTTTTTATGTTTGCTAATTTTTGCCATTTAGAATTATTCCTTCCTTAGAATTATTCTTTTTTGGTAGTATTGGTGAGAATGTTTCTTTTTTTTTTTTTGCAGTTTGAGATTTCCAATCTTTTGATAATTCCTTTTCAATCCGTTTCTATCTTTTATGATGTCTAGAAGAAGCGAATCAGTGATCAGGGCTTATGTTTTGGACCGAAATTGTTTGTGTCGTAGGTTTTTGATTTCTGCGTCAATGTTCATTTGTTAGGTGCAGGTTTATATTGATTCTGTTGCAAAGTTTAGCATATGCTGTCCAATTTCTTTTATTCTTCTTTTTGTCTTATGCATTTAGAACGATAATTCTATTGGAAAATGATTTGAGGAAATATAAGTCATCAATGGTTTGGCAGTTGTATAGATAGGGAACATTAAAGAGGAAAATATCAATATTGGTTGAAGTACAGATAGGTTTTTTGTGAATGATCTGATATTCTCGGAGTTCTGAATGATTTCTGATTGCTGATCCGTTAGCATTTCTATTTATATTATTCCAGATGCGGTGCTTGGCATTGAAATTTCCGCCGATAAGGAAGTGTCTTGAAGAGGAATAATGTCAAGATCCGTTTGGTTCATCTCGGTTTTCAGGAGTACGTATACGACACCCATGATTAGTGTTGGTGTGGTTTTTAGTAATCGATATGAATTTTATGTTATGTTTGGGGAGGTTGGTTGAGGAATGTCTTTATGTACAGCTAAGAGTATTCTTTTTCTTGATTTGTTTGCAGTGGTGGGACATCTTTTCTGTATATATTACAGTTTAGGAACTTGAAAATGTCAGTAGGTGCTAACCAAGTTTCAATAATAATAGTAATGCCCATGTTTTGATCAATAAGGAATTTATGAAGTTCAATTATTTTGTTTTTTACGCTAGTTGCGTTCCATAAGACGAAAGCGAGTTTCTGTGAGTGGCCATTTTCCAGTTCTTTTACGATAAAAGTAGTGGCTTTTGCTCCGTCTAGATTGTTTCTGTATTTAATGTAATGTTTTTGGATTAGGGAAATTATTCTTAGGAATAAAGTCCAAGTCAGCGGTTTTAAGTTCGTCTTGATCCGAGATGTCTGGCTTGTTTTCTTGTTCTGTTGGTAAAAAGTTCTGTGATGGTGGTTCTGTGAAGTATTAATACTTTTGCATATGTTAAATCTGTGAACGGGCTGAGTAGAAGGGAAAGTGTAGGTTTTATTGGAAGAAAGATGGGAAAATGGTGAGAAAGCATAGGTAATGGCTGTTACGTTCGCTGGATTTCGGTTGTATGTATGCTCTTTGTGTAAGGAAAACTAGACATTTCGAATAGTTGGCTGGGTGGTTGCCTTTGCAATTTGCGCAAGTGGATGGCACTTCTAGTTTCTTTGCAGATTCTGGAATCGCGTGGTCTTGCACGCTTTTTTATTGCTGAGGCATGACCCTTAGCTTGACAACGGAAGCACTGGATTGTTGACTTATGTGATTCATATATCTCCCAGTATATTTTTGTTTTCAATACATCTTTATATAATTTATTTGCGCTATTATTATCCTGGGTGCGAAAGTAACACGATAAATTAAATATTTCGTCTGCGTGAAGATTTCTGTACAGAAAATTGGATTTAGGCCCCGATTTTAATGCTATTGCATACTTAGCTTCTGGAAAACGTGTGAGACCTTTTGGCACTATTATTGTTGTTTTTTCCATACTGACTGTTTAGGTATGGTAGTCTATACATATAATTTTGAAATCATTTAAATTTGTGAACATAATTTTTAGTTTGTTTGATGTAAATTTTATTTGAAAGACATTTTTATATTTTTCTTTGAAAACGTCCAGAAGCTTGATGTGATTAATTTTGTATGTAGATAGGATATTGTGAGATTTTATAGCTGGTGGTTAGGGTTAGCTGTGATATTTTCTTGTGTTGAAATGTTAGCCGTAAGGAATTCTGTGTTTAATGTTCCAGTGTCATGTTCGGTCATTAGGCAATCAGCAAATATACTGTATCTATTTTTTGTTTGAATAGTAGGATTGATAATATCCATACCTTCGATTTTATTAATTTTGGCGACAGGTGAAAAATTGAAAAACGACGTTTTATTGATGTAGTAGACATTCCATTGAGTAGATTTTTCTGCCGTTGTGCAGGCCAGGTTGATAGCTGTTTCATGCTCAGGCTGCTCCGATCTAGATGGCCTTTATTAGGTGATACTTTCAGTTGTTACAGTTATGTTTCCTTGGGTATGAACACTGAACTCTATCCTTTTGAACTTTCGTTTGAGTAACTCGCAAGTCGAATTGCTCGATTTATTTCAGATATCAACTGTGAAATCCTGTCAAGACCCTGTGGCACGTTGGAATCGGCCCTTATGTGGGCGATTCTCTTCGTGACCTTCTCGATCACGTGATCGGGAAGATAAAATGTTTTATGGCTGTTAGCAATATCAGCGCCATAAAGTAATTTTGGCAATTATGGTAAATTATGAATTACTGACAAATTTCGATACGCTATTCAGGATTTCAGCCTACTAGAAGAGATTATTATTGACGATGTAATAAATAGTAAACACCTTTATTTACATTTATTATAAAGCTTTCGATTGTCGCGCTGTGGCCTGTAATCCGGATAAATAAAGGTAAATTTATACGTATAAATTTTCAAGTATCATATCTCATTCTTTACATATCTTAGCGCATTTTTTTACTAGCTATATATATATAGAGAGAGAGAGAGTTATATGAAAAGTATCAATGACTTTGAAAAGTTCTTGAAAAAAATGGCTTTGAGAAAATATTCTTACCAGTTATTAGGATACCATTCATATTAGGCAAAAAATATTTTTTACATCATCACAAAAGATATTTAGGTGGCCTCACTTAAATAGACCACGTCGTATGAAATTTAATATTAGAAAAACAGTTGTTTTATTATCCGAAAATTCGATTAATATTTATCTTTCCACAGTTCGAGTATGGAAGTCTCTACTGTATTATCTAGTTATTTATATCATTTAAAATTGTTTTATCGATAATATTCATTTCATTTTAATTATTTAAAATTTATTTATAAAGATAGAAACATCCCATCATGGCAATAACTACCATGGCAATCAACGTATTGATATTTTTCACTATTACTTGCATCTACATAAATTTTACTCTTACTCTTAACACGTTAATTAATTAAAATAATTAATTAAATTATTACTCGTAATTCGTTGATCGTGTTGGTTATTTCCATAACTTCAGCCATGACTTGTTCTTCAGCAGTATGAATCGTCATCACCAATTCAGTTAATGGTTCTGCCAAGGTCTCTAAATGGATCAATGCGTTCAAATTTTGCGTTTCAATCGCTCTGAACACGTGAATTAGTTCGAACGGATCTTTGAAGTATAAATCTGTTGGACCTGCATCGGTAATGTCTTGCTCGAATAAATCTAAAAGTATAAATTGTTATAAAGCAACCATTTTCTTCGAGACACAAAAATCTTCTAACCAAAGTTAGATAAAAACTGTTATTACCTGGCTACGAATATTTATGCAAATTTATATTTTTATAAATATAAATAAATAACAATGTTGTTTTTCCAAATAAATTTTTTACTATATATTGTGTGTATGCGTGCGTGTGTGCTTGTAATTATAAGAAACATGATAGTATATAAAATATTTCTCACTTTTTTTAAAATAAAACCTTTAATTTTTTTTATATTTTTCTTTATATCATATAAAAATGTATATCAAGACGTACAACGATGTACAACGATGTACCATACAATGACCTCGAATGTCATACAAGCTCAGGGTTGTAAAATGTTTACCCAATTTTTCAAGTATTTGCAATAACGTAATAAAATATTCTGTATCAAACTTTATTTCATTACATTCTATATAATATAATGGGGAACAAATTACACAGTTCTATGTATAAAACTCAAAGTAACTTCTAGTTTACTGTGAAAATAAATAAATAAATAAATTTTTACTGTCGTTACATATAGTACATTTGATATAGATATAGTATACATATAGTACATTTGATATAGATAAATTTTTTTGTGAAATACTGTATTACAGTTGTTACAGTTTTTTTTCAAAACAATTCGACAAATTTAATTTCAATTTATCTACATAGAATAAAAAAAAAACTAATTTTTTCTATATCTATATACTTTAATTTAATAACTTTCATGACATTATTTCCAAAAAGCTCCAAAAATAAAATCATATGAGGATTTGTTATGGCCATTCAAGTTTTAATATTAGTACCATAAATTTTTTCAAATTAGATATACACGATTTATAGTAAATTTCTTTTTTAACGTGATTAATAGTGAATAATAAAAAAATTTAATAATTGTCATCTATTAATTATTATAATTATCTCATAAAACTATAGCGAAATGATATGCACCAATCTAATAAATCGCAATATGTTCACTAAATATTAT